TGTCAATTCATTGAATGTTCTGTACAAAACAGACTGTACCTATTCTGATTACTGGCGAAATGCTAATCTGGTCTGCCCTCGTTCAGGTTCTGCCAATCTACAAGGAAGACACTTGTTAGTTGCAATGCTGATAACTATATCTGGTCTGGACACTTATACTCACTCCTTCACACGGACATCAGGAGCTAAACTAATCTCCGCCCTTGAGCCAGGTGTGATTAGTATAAATTGCACACCTACTGACCGCCTAGCGGCCAGCATCTATTGATTGTTCTGTTAGCAAACACAATGGAACAGGAGCTAAAAAAGAAGAGAAGGGAGAGATATACAAGCATATCAATTGCCATCTTCCTATTGATGTGATCCATATACACGTCACTATTGGGTTAAAGTTAGTGATAGTTAATGCCCCTGATGATCACTAACTTACAATTCATCCAAGCAGCGGACAGGAGATCCCATAGCCTCCCAAAGTGCCAATAGAAGACAAACTTGAGAAAAAGACTTTTCACCACCGGAAAGTGTCTTTGCACCCCGTCCAGTGCTGTCCTTTGTTATATCAGGTTCGACCTAGCAAGTCTTGTTAGATTCTGTCAGAAGATAACAGCATCATGTAACGTACTTGTAAATCCAACAGCTTGCTCTCATGGTCCGTTAGGAGTCGACCACGAAAACTTCTCTCACTTAATAAGTACGTGAATTGTGCCTTGGCCCGAGATGAAATGTGAGATCTGAAAATTACCCAACGTTTCTTGCGGTGTTTGAGTGTTTCAATGAGGATCTGCAGATACAGTCAACAAACTTAAGTCCTCTGTACAAGGGCAAAAGCATAAAAGAGACGAGGGGGAAGGTGAAAATGTACATCCGCAAGTAACCTAAATTCCTCCACCTGCTTAAGGGCCCGATCATAGGCTGTGGATGCTCTGGCGGCTTCAGCGGCGATCTCATCGCGAGATGCGCCCAATCTAGTGGTTAGTTAGTTCAAGTATCGTGGTAACGTGTGTTTGAAGTATCTGACTGTTGGTTATAGCGTTGAATATCCCTATTAAGTCTGTCCAGTTTTTTGTCCAAACTAGCAGCAGTCTCACCTTCAGGAATTGGAACCCGCGGTGAGACTAGACTGGCTTTCTCGCTGAAGTCGATAACACGAGCAGAAACCTCTTCTCTTTTCTCATTTATCCTTTCTTTTTCTCGTCTGCTATCATCGATTCGTTCAACCGCAATGTTTTTATCATTAATGATCTTTCGGCGTTTTTCTTGCCCCATGAGTTCCTCACTTCGAGTTACACGGAGCTCTTCCGTTGACGCAGCTATATCGGCATCCTTAGAAGCGAGTTGTTGTTTAATGGCTTTAAGCCCTTTCATCATGGCTTCCATGGCCTCCATACTGTCTTCCAAAGACCCTTCGTTGATGTGTTTCTCTTCCTTAACCTCCTGGAGCGTGGCTCGCAGCACATCAAGATGGTCGTCTTCCACAGGTTCTTTGTCGAGTACATCTGTGAGTTCTTCCACATGGTCTTCCTTCCTCTGCAATGCGATTCGCAACTCATTTGTACTCTTTTCATGTCTCATAAGAGCTTGTTTGCAGCCCTCCAAGCGAGACCGAGCAGATCGAAATTGCTCTTCCTGATCACAGAGCTTACGCCTGAGGTCTGCCACTACATCACGTTGAACCCTGCGGGCATAAACGTCAGTGGGTAAGCGAGGTACTGGACACATTTAAGGATCACCTGATTTGTGAAGCTAGATCCGATTTCATTCGTGGGCTGCCACTGTATACAGGAACTGGCGCCTGACTTGGCTCTCCCACACGATTGTAAGATAGATGGATGCCCCGGCGCCTGTCCGTTTGGTCAATGCAGTAACACCGCTTCACATTCCTAGGTTTCTGCCCATCAAAGAGTACTGAAGATGCTTCTTCTAGCTTTTCGATTAGAAGCATTTGCTCAATACCATGGTTAATGATCAACTGTCGACGGACGAGTTCGTTGTCAATCTGCACGTTCGAGTATATCAACTTAATGTAACTGGCTCTTCGAATCAAAGGCACCTACCTGAAGCACCCGTAGAGCCGTATCGAATTTAAGATCAGGCTCGTGTTCTGATGTATCAATGTACCCATCGTTTCCTATAAAGATTGGGCATATGCTTCCAGCATTGTTAAAAAGGCATGGTTCGTAAACCAGGTCAGTGGGAACATACCAGTTGACATTGCGCATAATACGAGAAAGAATCTCCATGTCTCTTTTGGATGTTACGATGAAGCTGTTCAACGTCATGCCAAACGAGTTCTCCAAAATAGATGACCATTCTGGTTTCAGTAAGGTCACATGATGACCGATGGGACCGACAGGCTTCTCGGTGAAGCCCTGTTCTTGTTGAACGGCTCTCAGGAGAGCCGGCATTTTGTCGTGGAATCCCGAGGTTTTGGATCCGCCTTCTTTGCTCAGACTTCGTAAAAGTTTCTCAGCTTGCTCAACGTCGGCCTTCGTTCTGCTAAGTGGCGCCACTAATGAATCCACTTCTTTTCCAGCTACTTCCAACTCTCGGTATAGGCGATCTGTATTGCGTTGGTGTTCCTCGTACTGTGTGCTGGCATGTGCAGCCTCTGCTTTCGCTTGCTCGAGTTGTTCCTGTTTCCTAGTATAACTGCCTCCGCTTAAGTCAGCCAAACGTTGATTTTCTTCTTCAATATTTTGTTGCGTTTCGTTTATCCTAGCTTCTGCTGCTTTTAGATAATCTCGTATCTGACGTTGCTGTGCCTGCAATGACCATCAGTAAAAAGCCCGGGAGTTCTGTGGTGGAACATTACCTGCAAATCATGACGTTCAGTCATTTGTTCGTCCCACCTAGCTTTAATATCCATCTTCTCAATTTGTGCTTGCTCGAGCCTAGCAGTAGCTTGTCTAACGTATTCGGCAACGGCTTCGGTTTCCTCCTCAGCTTCTTGTATAGCAGCGTCGAAGCTGGCCAGCTCAGCTTCAGCGGTTGCAATCTTCTCATTGGCTTTAGCTAGTTCAATCTCTAAGGAGCTCCTCATCTACAGTTCATCAGAAACAACGGCATGCAAACAATTAATGTCTATGCTTACTCTTTCCTGTTCCTCAACCTGAGCCCAAGCCATTTGGCTCCGGACATTTCTGACCCTGTTCCTTAGGGATTCGTGTTGATCAGACATGTCCAGTTTCTGGTTTGCTGCAACTTTGCGGCTTTTTAGGGTCATAATATCTTGCTCTCGTCCCCTGAGCTTCTCCTCAATCTGATCAGCAGATTCTTCGATTAGTCGGTAGTCCTGATCAAGTTGCTCCAACTGAACACCCTTCACAAAGAACTTGTATTTCTCAGCAGGACTTGAGCTGCTCAAAAATTGGCGGGCCATGTCTTGTGAGAGAACATTCATCGGGTTGTCAAATTGTAATGTGAAAAAGTCAATGATAGCATCCAGTTCGGTTTTTTTGGTAGAAACTAGACGTCCATTCTCTGCCTTGATTTTGAAGCCACTCGTTCCAGTTTTTGTGAAATGACGTTCAATAACAATGGATTTTCCATAATCATCCGGCATATAGGCACCGTCTCCCTGATTTTTAATGCGCACAACAATAGTTGCACTCCTACAGAATATCAATTAGTAACCATGTGACCTGTATAGCATAAACGCACGTACTCTTTGCCTTCTTTGATGAAACTCTTAAGACTCTGACCGCGATTCGTAGCAGATGCTTTGCCACCCAGACAAAGAGTTATAGCTGTTAGCACTGCGCTCTTGCCGCTGCCATTTTTTCCGACAATAAAATTAATCAATGGCCCCAGTTCGACAAAGAAGTGGTCATGACACATAAAGTTGTAGCATTCAACACGTTCAAGAATGCCATGTTCAGCAGGAACGTTAGGTTCATCACTAGCGAAAGAATACTTCTCCTGGATCAGTTGCGTTGCACGTAATTCAAGCTCGTCCTCGTCATATTCCAAAGCCTGGGTGATAGAACGATGAATTCTTTCTCCACTCTCACTGTCGCTCACATCGGTGCCTTCGTACGATGGAGATTTGGACGTGCGAATACGTTTGCGCTTCCCGTGAGTGTTAGTTAGTTTATAGAACGAAACACGAAGAATACACACCAAATGACACGCGCTGGATGATGACCTTGACCTGTTGTACTCCCCTTCATCCCATTCTCCCGGCCCCAAGGGTCTCTGCGGGCGCTTTAACGATGACATCGGTAAAATGCGACCGGATCATACATATAAACAGTAATTATTCATACTAGAAGTAACAAGGACTTAAAAGCCATCACACAAGATCTAGCGGCCTTCCGATCAATTCGAATAAAAACTCATTGAATGCGAAAGTAGGTCATACACCCTATACGGATAAGCTTGAAACGCGTATAGAGTCGCGTAAATGGCCCGAATTGGGTTTCCGTATGGAGTCGTAGCTTTACCCTGTGTAATATGGATCGTGTATCTCTGTTGTATCCATTAAAGTGGGGGTAGGTAAGACAAGGATACTAAATACAGAGTATAGTACAAGGTTGTCTTGGGCAGAAACTTCTTGCCAACTTTTCTCTGCCAATGCCGAGCTCTCACCGCCTTAAGACATGTGTACCTGGTACTTACAGTGGTACTTTAATATGTAAATACACATTATATAGGTCTAAACACTGGATTTGGTGAGAATGAAAAGGCGGTATGTAGGTGGCATTTAGGCGGTCAAGCGGACGGTTTCAAACTTTTTGCATCCAGCTCCTAGATAGGAGCAAGACACTAATTACTAGTGTAGATAGATGGTATACTATGTATCAAGGCCTAGATACACAATTTGGAGGTTTTCTGCTCTGCAGAATAATACAATCAGGAAGGCGGTTATCTAGGCAATAAATGGACGGCTTCAAACTTTTTTTATACCACTGTATTAATTATATCAAATGGTTAATACACGATATTCTACTTTTATCATCTTTTAAGCAATCTCTTAGAATATTGTACTAAGCACTAGTAAGCGAAGGATCAACTTTCATATATATTCTACCTAGATACCTAGTAGGATGCTTCGGTAGCATCTTGGGTCGTTTAGGGGATGTCTCAGGGAAGATGCTTGACGAACCTGTTACTCCGTACAGTCCAGCGATGTGAAGACTTTATACAGACAGAAACCACCTATAACAGTAGGCGGTCACCAAGGTTACAAACTATACTCCAATTTCATTGAATTACCTCTCTCACTGTACCTTATTGAATGGTGTGCACTCTCGGTAGCTCATCAGGGGCGGAGAGCGGTGAAGAAAGTGGCAGAATATCTGCTCATGATGGCTGGTACTTCGAAATATTCATTTCACTTCATGGGCTACTGACATAATGAGCAGTGAAATAAAAATCACTTTCTGATGTATAGACGGGTTGATCAGTAAAATAGTTAACTGAGTCTTTAATAAGAAAGAGCTACTGATGTAGAACTATGCCGCCACCATGGGCTCTTCTGCAACATAGTGGAGGTAGGCACCAAGCAATTTTACCCCTTCAATGTAGTTTCTCTTGTCAAGCTTCTCGTTGATGGAATGAGCAGCATCAGTTGAGCTGCCCATCGGCAAAAGCAAAACATTCTTGCCTGTCGCTTGCTCGAAGCTCAGGGTGACAGGAATGCTGTTTCCGTTAGCTTTGGTCATGGCGTAGCATCAAGAACTTGCTAAAAAATAACATACCTGCCACCTTCACGTGTCATATCTGGCTCAACACCAAATACCTGATTCACTGCCTTGCTTGCAGCAGTGAAGTTCCAGTGTTTTGGACTAGCAACCCACCATTTTCCATCATGCTGCAACCACACATCCAAAGTATTCTTGCTGTTCAGCTTTGCAAATTCTGCCTTGATGTAATCAAAGACGAGTTTATTCACATCTTTGCTCTCCATATTGGGGACAGTCCGAATCGAGAATTTACCAATGACCTTCGCTGGTATCACTGTTTTGGCGCCAGGAGCCGAATATGCGCCTTCGATGCCATGAAGGGACAAAGATGGATACCTCCATCTAGCCATGAGCGTTCTTTCTTTCGTTGGGTGAATGCTAGTTTTGCTTCCCAGGGATTGATGGAGGTCGTCCATCGTGTAGCTGATATTGGGATAGAGGGCTTTTTCTTCCTCTGACAATGGCTCGACAAGGTCCATGATGCCAGGTATCAAGATGTTGCCATGAGTATCAACAAGTTTAGACATCACATGGACCAAATCTGTCATAGGCTCATGGGCAGATCCACCGAAAACTCCGCTATGAAGATCCTGAGCGGGCCCTGCGACACTGACAGAGTAGTAGTTGCAGCCACGCAGGCCATAGGTTAGACAAGGCTTCTCTGTTCCGAGCCAATAATTATCCGATATGCAGACGGCATCCGCATCCTTGAAAAAGCCTTTGCTCTCAGCTTGAATAAACTCCTCCAATCCTTCTGAGCCATACTCCTCCATTCCCTCAAAGCAGCAAAGAAGGTTGACTGGCAGCTCAACGCCAGCTTTTTTGTGAGCTTCGATCACATTCAACCATCCCAAAACGGGGCCTTTGTCGTCTGTACTTCCGCGGCCGTACATCCTCCCTTGGTTGTCGACCGTCAATTGGAAAGGCTCTGTGGCCCACCCGTCTTCCTTCAATGCTGGCTGGACATCATAATGACCGTAAACCAGGATGGTTCGCTTGTTTTTATCATTGCCATACCGAGCGATGACAACCGGGGGTAGGTCAAGGTGTTCCTTCCCAGGCTGTTTTCCCAGCGGCCTTTGATACACCTCAGCTCCAAGAGCCTCTAACTCCGAAGCAAGAAACTGAGCCATCTTTAGAAGGATGGGTTATGGGTTAATTCTATTCGTAAGGAGTAATAGAGCATCACGTACTCTGAAAACGTCTTGCCTGTTCTCATCTTGTGCAGAAACAGAAGGGATCGCAACAGCCTTTCGCAGACCTTGAGTTCCGTCAGCGTGCTGCAGGGGTAGATAGAAAAGATAACACTTGACTTACGCTCGATGAAAGATTCGGCAAGGCCGTCAACCCTAGACAGATGCGGCACCAGGCCTTTAACATATGTCCACCTTTTTGGAGACTGGGGAAGGATGATAATGGAGAAATAGAGAGACAAAAGAAACAATAGAAAATCAAAGGAGGAAACTTACTGTTTAAAGAATGGATCAAGCTGTGGTGCCATTTTTCGATCACTGATATGTCCGTAAAAAGAGCGGCGACAGGTGAAGTAATTTGTTCTTAGGGATGGGAAATACGGTGTCCAATATTCTTTAGTGGAAACCGAGGAGGATAAACAAGGCTTATATTTCCTCAGTGACGTTGCGACGCGACGGAGGAGGGGCATTTGGGTGCGTGCGGAAGAAAATCGAAGTGACACGATTTGCTGGTTGGGAGGGGACGTTTACCTAACAATTTAATAATTGAAGCGCTAAAAGGTAACACGCGACCTCTACGCCGCAACTAAGCGACACTGCACTATCTCGTATCACTAGTAGGTACGGAGTACCTGAGGAAGAACTTACTGGAACCCAATGAGGTTCTAGCATAGTTAATACAGTATGGAATCCAATACAGGAACGCTAGAGCTAGAATACATGTTTTGATACAACAACCTCTATGAGCTTCCCAAAGCCATGGACATGGACAAGAGAAATAGCAAGCGTCAAATCAATTTGACCCTTCAAACTACCAGAGCAAGGAAGATCAATGGGCTAGAGCTGAGTCAAGACGGGACTCTCCTCCCTCATTCATCTCTTCCCCAGGACTCTTTTCGCAATTGTCGGTCTTCTCTAGCCATCCGACGTTTTGTACCCCATCTTGATTGTACCGCTTCCAAAACTTGTTTCTGGATTTCTTTCTTTTGTGGGCCAGCTTCACATACCATAGCAATGAACATTGGGGAGCAGTCAAAGCGCTTAGCCAATTTCCAACGGCTCCAAGTCATCGGGTCGCTTAGTCGCAGTCTGCGGATCTCTTCTATGTCTGAAGGATTCAAATGATACCTCTTCTCCACAGATGTTTTGAATACAGAGGGTAGTTGAGCGGAATTTTCATTGTTCATGGAAGCGCCACGGAGGGTTCGACGAACATCATCGACAGGGAGGAATTTCGTGGGTGTATGGTATACCGAGGGCGCGCTCGAAGGCGGGTTGTGGATGATTTGGTCATGAAATTGGGTGGATGAAACACCAAACGACGCATCTGGTTTGACACGTAGGCGTTGTTTCGTCCGTCTATACGAGGATTGATGCCGGCGTGTTTGCAACGTGGTCGACTCACACGAAGACGGAAAAAGAAATGGCAGGGCTAAAAACGACCGTTTGGGAGCAGTGAGACACGTTGCCATTTTCTTTTCACTTCCTATCTAGGACCTCGGATTTGATTTGAAGTTATTCTAAAGGAGCCTTAGATTACCGGTGTAGGCTGATCTCAATCCAGGGTGAACTAGAACCACAAAGAGCGAGTGTTAGCAACCAACTCTCTGGACTTAATAACGTCATGGGTGGTGCAGAATATGCGCAAATGCCTGGGAACGTACTGTCGCAAGTTAAGGCTATAGCATTATCTTCTAGCCGCGTTGAAGCCAGGTTCGGACGGTTTTCCAAAGGGAGAAATTCTCTTGGAGATTCGAACATTAACTTTTTCCTCCAAGCAGCAAGTCCCGTGACGGGGGCTGATCTGTATTAGACACGGCCTAGCCTGATCGAGCAGTATCTTACGAGATATCATGTGGCGTAATTACGACACGTTTCAATCCAGGTACTGTACCACTCTTAGAGCCAATAAATCAAGTCCGGAGTAAACTACGAGGTCAAAAGTATTGCAACACCCGGATTCCCGCCTCCGAGGCGCCGTTTTTAAACCTCAATATCTCAACGAAATTAAAAGCCTTTGAGTTCATAGTAAGTTCTATAGATTCCTAAACTCAATATTTAGTATACCATCCACGTACTTTATATACAGCTCGAAGCCTACATAGCCAGGACAGAACTAGGCGATTTATAACCTCCTAATCAAGGCTATTCCATATAATCTGAATAGCCTACCTAAAATACTCCATATCTATTTCTGATACCCCATATAGAAAGATCTCAGAATAGAGCTCCTTTAGCTTCTTTTTAAGCAGATACCAGAGGTTTTCAATAGAATTTAAATCAGGCAAGTAGAGCAGCCAATCTAAAATCTATATACCATATCATAGATCCGATAATGACTTTATATAATAACTATATCATATACCCTACCCGTTGTGTATACACAGCTCGGAGGCCGCACGACAATAATAGATTACATATCCGTTGACTTTTCAATAGCGTATAGTAGCTCCTTGTCAGTCTTATCTTATTAGGAGAATAAGGGGTTTCTTTTAAATATAAAATTAGCCTAATATTAATAGAAAAAGAAGGCAAAAATTAGCCTTCTGTCTACCTGATATCTACTGCTTAGTATTCGGCCTATATACTCTTATCTAGTTGACAGGTTTTCTATCCTTAATAGTAGATATTTCCTTGATATACTATGTCTTTCAAACCACGATTGTACCTGCCTAGATATATAGATTTTAGTATTGTCTTGCTGGAATCTTATTTCCGGCTTGTAGATTAGTAGGAGACCCTTTGCTAGGCAGACAATATAGAAATTTGTTAGATAGCCTCTATTTCTAGATAGTTCGTCCCTTTCTAGAAGAACCAATTCTGACCGGCCATCATACCAAATAGAGGCCCAAATCATAATCGAAATATCCTTTCCATGGCGCTCTAGGTTCACTAGATCAGGCCTATAGGCCTCATTCGAGAAACAGAATACCCATAGTGTAGGATTACTAGGGTTCCGATAGACCGAGGATTCGTCCGAAAACATGATATTGCTTAAATCGTCGAAATGCAGCCACGCACGCGCAAATTTATAGCGCTTTTTAGCTGAATCAGTGTCTAAAGCAATCCTTTTTTTACCTTTCCACCTTTTAAGATAATATCTGCGCAGAATTCGTTGTATAGTCGATCTAGAGATATTGTAGAGGCTCCCAGCAATCAGCGCTGTGTAGCTGATTCTAGGCCTCCGGCGAACCATTTGAAATATATAGCGTTTAGCTGCGCAGCTGAGCTTTTCAGACCTACCAGACCGAGCACCTGATTCTAGGCTATTCTGGTTTTGAAAGCGATGTTGTGTCCGATAGATAGTAGAACGCGCAACACCAAATTCCCGGGCAAGTTTAGTGACATTTTACCCTGTGTCTAGACCTTCAAGCAAGGCAGCGCGTTGCTCAGTAGATAATTCAGATCTAGGCCTTCGATTTGCACTGATTTCTGTTCCAAAAGACCTCATTTTGGTGATGTGGTAGGCGTTTGAAATAATTGTTGTTTTTTGACGCGGTACGCGTTCTGCCAAGTGTTGCAATACTTCTGACCCACTATTGTAACATACTGAGTACGGTTATCAAAGTTTACCTCTTACTTTTCAACCACCGGCTCACGTATTGTGAGTGCAGCCAGAGGCCTCTTCCTCTTCTTCTTCTTCTTCTTCTTCTTCTTCTTCTTCTTCTTCTTCTTCTTCTTCTTCTTCTTCTTAATCTTAATCTTAATCTTAATCTTAATCTTACGTCATATATGTTCTAGAAATCAAAGAACGAAATTCTTCAGAAATTATCAAAATTTGCTTATAACCAAAGATCAACTGCTCCTTTTACATCCAGACTTTCTTTCTCTCCTTCCCAAGTTTCCACCGCTAAAGCGGGTCCCTCTGTGATTGGGGTGAATTATGGGTCGGACTCCACTGCGGCTCGGGACTACTTATTTGTGTCTTAACTAACACCAACGCTCCTTTTGGGTTCTAACGCCCCGGCTTAACAGTTGCCCCCTAGGCTTATTGTTCAAGATAAATCACGCATTCGAACAGCATTAGAATGACTTCATTGTGAGGTTTCCATGATCAATCTTGACAGGATCATATTGATCCTTATGTAGGCTTATTGTACTGCCCCTGACTCCTCCCGTAGTGAACTAACATTGCCTTGTCCTTAGTACGCACTATGACCGACTCTACGGTCCATCCCTCAGAAATGAGGGTTCCTGAAAACCCCTCTGATCGGCTCACCACCGGAAAGCCAGAGCCACCTGCTCTATCCAATGGCCCAAAATTGTCCTCGCATTTCCCTTCTCCAACTCGCACCACTGGCACTGAGTATTCGCCTTCAGACAATCGGGAAAAGGCGGAGGCTGCTGCCGAGGCAAATCAGCGGAGAGCGAATACTATCACCGGTGAAAATGGCGGGAAACCACATGTGGGGGAGACCGGCGGCTCATGGGAAATGTGGGATGGCTTTTCCGGGGCTAAATCAACGTCTTTGAACCCTCGACGGCCGAACGAGTCGCTTGACAACCAGCAGAAGGCCATGAGCCAAAAATCACAAGCATCCCTCTATGGGCTATCATCGCGGCGACCAAGTGTTCAGTTTACCGGCGAAGCCACCGAAAACGATCCTCCCGCTGAATCTGCTCGATCAAGACCTTCTTCCGTAGTAGGGGATGATGTTGATGCGGACCTGAAGGGAAAGCAATCGATCTTCGGCAAGCTCAAGGCATTTGCTGCCTCCCCTTCGTTCGCCTCTCATTCCCGCTCGGCCAGTGCTGCCACTATTGGGGATTCTAGACACGCTAACCATGATCTCACCACCCCAGGCTCGGAAAGGGGGGAGTTCCGTTTCCCCAACACGCTAGAAGAGGAAGGGAGCGATATTGATGCCGATGCTGAAGAGAGCGCGGGAGAACAACAAGGTCTGCAGCAGCTGCAGCTGCAGCAGCAGCAGCAGCAGAAGAAGAAGAAGAAGAAGAAGAAGCAGCTGCGTCGTCAACAAGAAAACGATTCTACACCCCAAACAGAACCGAACACACCGAAAGCCTCGGGTCGGCCCTCCTTTCACCTGCCTAGCTCATTTGCCCCCTTTGAAAACTATCGTACGAACTTCTTTCCACGACGAAATACTGGAGACTACGCGCAGCAACGTGAAGGAGTGTCAGAGGATGAGGGCCGGGATCGTCTTAATCGCGATAACACTTGGCGGCGGAGAAGCGCCTGGCTTGCTAACACTCGCGCACTTAATTACGGAGGGCGGCAGACTGACTCACAACCGAATCAGGATGAGAGACGTCCTAGCAATCTGAGGCGGTTCACTGGCATAACAGGACCGTCGGAAAACGTCGAGAGTCCTGGCGCGCCCTGGAGGCGCCATCGAGCCGAACGTGGTTCTAGCCTCAGCGCTCAAAGATGGCGGCAAATCAAGGCTGGATTGAAGCTGATTGGACAGCGACGTAAGACCGACAACACAGTTGACCATGCGAAGTCGGCCGAACTGCTAGCCGAGCTGACCTCGGGGGTACCGGCCGCCCTAATTCTTGCTAGCATGTTTCAACGCGATGAGCACGGCAGCAAACGTATCCCGATTCTCCTTGAGCAGCTCAAGGTTCGAGTAACGGATAGTAGGATCGATTCTCATTCCGGAGATCGCCACCTTGTTTTTAGGATTGAACTCGAGTATGGAAGCGGCATGACCCGGATGAAGTGGATTATTCATCGAACGCTGAGAGATTTCGCAAATCTTCATCTGAAGTATAAATTACACTTTGGAACGCAAAAGTATATCCAACTGCGAAATACTGAAGGTGCACAGAATCTTCCACGTTTCCCTCGAAGTGCATTTCCTTACCTTCGAGGTGTTCGGGGCTTAGAAAGCGACATGGAGGACGAAGAAGATGACGGCGGCTATGAAACCGCAGCCGAGGCGACAAGTGGCAATGAGAGAGCTGGGAGGAGGCAGCAGTCACGGCGGCGATCGTCCGGTAATATATCCCGGCGACAGTCGACTGTAACGAACCCCGATACAGAAAATGCTGCTGGAGCCTTGGGCGCCACGGACGCAGGACCGAGCAAGAAAGAGAGTTATCCGGAGAGACAAAGAAAAAAACTCGAATCTTATTTACAAAAGCTGATTCGGTTCCTTATCTTTAAACCTGATAGCAATCGTCTGTGTAAATTCCTGGAGCTGTCGGCCTTGGGTGTGCGCCTTGCTGCTGAAGGGAGCTATCATGGCAAAGAGGGGTATTTGATCATACAATCCTCGAAAGGTCTGGATTTCCGGAGGGCCTTGACTCCTGCCATGGTTAAAAACCGTCATTCACCAAAGTGGTTCCTAGTCAGACATAGCTACGTCGTTTGTGTCGATTCCCCCGAGGCAATGAATATCTACGATGTTTTCATGATAGACCCCTTCTTCAAGCTGCAAACCCAGAAGATCAGCATCCGAAACCAGAAAGCAAAGGAGCTTGCAAAGTCGGCAAAAGAGTCGGCAAGGCATCCGCAACATCACACCCTGAGGCTGGAAAATTCAGAGCGGAAACTCAAGCTCTTGGCCAGAAACGAGCGCCAACTTCATCAGTTTGAAGATTCTATTCGGTTTATGGTCAACAATACCCCTTGGGCAAGGCCGAATAGGTTTGAAAGTTTTGCTCCAGTACGCCATCATTGCTTCGCTCAGTGGCTGGTTGATGCTCGGGATCACATGTGGATGGTGTCACGGGCGATCAACCAGGCTAAAGATGTCATATACATTCATGACTGGTGGCTTAGTCCTGAACTTTACATGCGGCGGCCAGCTGCAATCAGCCAGAAGTGGCGCTTAGATCGCCTTCTCCAGCGAAAAGCCCGCGAAGGCGTCAAGATATTTGTCATCATGTATCGAAATATCAACTCTGCCATCCCAATTGACTCAGAATATTCCAAGTTCTCCCTTCTTGACCTGCATCCCAATATCTTTGTGCAGAGATCTCCAAATCAATTTCGACAGAATACTTTTTTTTGGGCACATCATGAGAAGCTGTGCATAATAGATCATACCTTGGCTTTTGTGGGAGGTATCGATCTTTGCTTTGGAAGGTGGGATACGCCACAACATCTTCTCATAGACGACAAACCAACAGGATTCGAGACTTCAGATGGCCTCAAGGATGCCGACCACTGCCAGCTCTGGCCTGGCAAAGACTATTCCAACCCACGTGTTCAGGATTTCTATGATTTAGATAAACCGTACGAAGAGATGTATGATCGAAATGTTATCCCCAGAATGCCCTGGCACGATATATCAATGCATGTTGTCGGCCAACCGGCTCGGGATCTCACTCGCCATTTTGTCCAACGGTGGAACTATATTTTGCGTCAGCGAAAACCAACTCGGCCCACGCCATTTCTACTTCCTCCACCTGATTTTGACGCAGCAGATTTGGAAGCTCTTGGCCTAGACGGAACCTGTGAAGTTCAGATCTTACGATCGAGCAGCGCATGGTCCACTGGTACATCCGACATTACTGAGCACAGCATCATGAATGCCTATGTCAAGTTAATCGAAGAATCGGATCATTTCGTCTACATCGAGAACCAATTCTTTGTGAGCACCTGTGAGATAGATGGCAGGAAAATCGAGAACCTGATAGGCGATGCCCTGGTCGAGCGGATAACTCGAGCTGCGAAGAACAAAGAGGCATGGCGTGCAGTTATCGTTATTCCACTGATGCCAGGTTTCCAGAATACGGTAGACAGTGAGGGTGGGACAAGCGTCCGTTTAATCATGATGTGTCAGTACCGTAGTATCTGCCGGGGAGAGACATCTATATTCGGACGACTCCGAGCTTTGGGCATTGAGCCTGAAGATTATATTCAATTTTTCAGCCTGCGGGCCTGGGGCAAGATCGGTCCTCAGAAGCAACTTGTCACTGAGCAGCTTTACATCCATGCCAAATGCATGATTGTTGATGACCGAGCTGCAATCATTGGGTCTGCAAACATCAATGAACGGTCTATGCTGGGATCGCGAGACTCAGAGGTAGCAGCTGTTGTGCGTGATACAGACATGATCTGGTCCAGCATGAATGGTCGTCCCTACCTTGTCGGACGGTTCCCCCATACTCTAAGAATGCGCCTAATGCGAGAGCATCTTGGCATTGATGTAGATGAGCTCATGGAGCATTCCATGGCGACAGAAGAAGAATTGCGAAGGATTCAGATTGCTGAGGAGGGCTCCAAGTCACCGGGAGATCATGAGAGACTCGATCCTGAATCACTTATGCTGGAAAAACAGGATGAGAGGGACATGATCGAGCGTCGGCACCGTATACAAGACGAATTCCTCTCGCGGTCAGAAGATATACACAGCTTCAATCATGACGTCGACTGGGAGCAGGGCGACAATCCTAATCTCAAGTCGAACAGGAAGCTCACCGCAGATGCAAGAGTGACTGCCAACCCAGAGCATAAGAAGGATGTGGACGGGTATGGTCCTGATCATCTCAGTGCTGCTCTGCAAGCCGGTTTAGGAGAAGCTCGTGATTCTCAGCTCTTGGGTGACAAGTCAGAGGTCTTGGTCTCACCCATTGCGAGCGAGGGTAAGGGCACCATCCAGCAACCGAGACATTGCCCGCCACAAGAAGCTAATGGCGACAAAGAAGCAAGGAAAACATCGTTTGATTTGCCAGATAATGTCAATGAGTCAGAATCAGTGGTTGAAGGACTGTCAGCTGCCCGTAACCCAGTTTTATCAGGACATGATACCGAGAGCAGTGGCAATAGTGCTGTTCCCACCTCTAGAGAAAAGTTCGACATGACAAAGTACCCGCACCCACTGAGCACAGACATGAAACATGTATTCATTGATAAAGATTGCATGAGAGATCCGGTGATCGACGTGTTTTACCTAGACACTTGGTATGCTGTTGCTGATAAAAATACGAAATTGTTCCGGAGCGTTTTCCGCTGCATGCCTGACAGCGAGGTGAAGACCTGGAAAGAGTATAAGGACTATGCTGATTACGGGGAGCGTTTTGCTGAAATGCAGAATCAACACAGTGCTAAGGCATTTCATCCGGCTCATGCTAGGCAAACTGGCCCACCTGGTACAGGTGCCAGCTTGATTGTAGGTGGCCTCGCAACCAAGTCTAACGTATCAGCAGCCGGCCCCAACGCGGAAGGGCAGCCGATGGGCCAGAAGGATCAATCATCAACTGAGAAGATTGACCTCCGACAAGCTGCAAACTCCCAGGATCACGGCCGTACGCAGCCAGAGATGGCACATCAACATGAAATACTGTCATCTAAAGACGAAAAGACGACTGGGCTGAGAACGGTAGATGTACCAGCATCTGGAAACGTACAAAATGGGCGACATGATGAGAATGGATCTTCCGGAGAAGATCATGAGAAACAGGTTTCAGATCCGCCAGTCGTTGATTATTCGGAAGCTTTAAACCGAAATGCCACTGCCCAATCACGACGACGTAGACGAAGGGCTACAACTCTGGGCTCGAAACGGGAGTTCCATGCATTGGATGAGGTGATTGACAAACAACGAGCGGAGGACCTTCTGAACCAGGTTCAAGGACATTTGATTCTTTGGCCTTATGATTGGTTAGTCGAACTTTTCGCTGTATTATGAACGATAATCCCATGTACTAACTGCTTGAGCTAGGCTCGAAAAAGAAGAACAAGGTGGAAACTGGCTGTACACACTTGATCAACTTTCGCCCTTGGAAATCTAGTAAGTTATCTTTCTTTTTGACTTGTTCACTATTATAGGCAGGTTGCTGATTATTGTGCAGTAATTAATGCACTGCGTGTCCTCTGTGTACCTCTAATTCATCCACCTCTCTTTGTGGGATTCTAAGCATATTGGTGAAGCAGCAATGTTTAGTCGCGATGTGCTCGGCAATTGTGGCTTCCAACGCTACTCTTGTGCTCGTAATTCTCTAACTTCTATACAGCCAATGGTGTGAATCTGCCCTATCTCTCGTAATAACTACTATTAATTTAACATTTTTACCTGCCTTCCTGATACTTCGGCATTGCAGGCGTTCTATCTCCGGTCTATCTTTTTCTTCTTTCCAATTCATAGTGATATTGTTTTTGTGTTGCAAATACTAGAAATATTCATCGCTGTTAATTGTCCTAGGGCCATGGGGAACAAAGTTCAAATATTATAGTTTTATCAAAGATATACGACAAGATGGCCCTAATCTATATTAAATTATGTGATATTATACACCGCTTATTATTACAAGTGATTGATCTGTTCTCTTACACAGGAAGACCTTCCAGTCTAGGTCATCTGTGCTCGCACCTTGTGAAAGTCATCGAAATTCGCTTGTAGAACAGAGGCCAGGAGGCTGTTTTTGAAACCACCATGTTTACGCCGTTCCCTTGCACCCAGACATGCGCTAAGGCGATAATGTGCGCGCGCCAAAACGCCCTGGAGTTCAGAAGTGCGACATGTGCGGCCGAGATCATTCATATAATTGGCGGGATCTTGAAGGCATAGCCTCGAGGCTGCCGGTATATTTCGCTTGATAGCAGCCGTTTTCTTCCGATTTACAAGTGCACGTTGGCCGCGGAGGTGGGCTGGCAAATCCTCTGCATCATATTTTTTTATTGTGTCTTTCACAGTACTTGCATCAAAGAAGCTTGGCGGGTCCACGGAAACACAGGTACTTCGTAGATCAACCTCAGAGCCGTATACCTTTAAAACAGCAAGGAGCTGTTCTCCCAAGCTTCTTGACTCTTGGAATCGGCCATGATTCATTTTAAGAAATGCCACAAGAAGCATCACAAGAGTATCAGGCTCAATGGATGAGTTATGGCTACCAAACAACTCTTGCGCCTCCAATATCAGACGGATGACCATGTATAGCGGCCGAATCGCAGGATATTCAGCATGATAGTCGCATATATACTCAACAGAGGAGGGCAAGCCTTCACCACAGTGAAACTGCACTCGCATACCGGTCTCATGGTGAACAGCGGTCAGAATTGAATTCCATTTGCCGTTCAACTTAATCCGGCCGCTAAACGACGAGCAATGCTGAAGGGTATATTCCACCCGAGATAATAGATCACTATGGAGACTGAGAATCTGTGGCCGTGTAGGACTTGGCCTTCGGACCCTGTCGATCGATCGGGCCGGATCCGGCACAGGCAAGATGAAGTCCAAGTCTGAATGGCTCATCGCAAACCCGGTTCGCCGAGAGCCGATGACCTGCGGCGTATGAGGTATAACATCTCGCAGCATGTTTGTAACTTGAGTAACTATATGATTTACCCTATCCTGTTCAGGAGGTGTTGGTAACAAGTATTCCTCAAGTGCGCGGATCTCTGCATCTAGCTGCAAGAAGCCGTCAGGCCATTCGCGACTCGCGTCCCAGTAATCCATCCATGGGGATTGCTCCCATCGGCCTTGTTCTGCATTTACATTCCATCGTATCCGGTCACACAGAATTGTTCGGGTGGTAATGACGGGATCCTTTTTCATAGTACGAGTACTCCTTGCTGTCCGTGTCGATGGCCCAGATGAGACAAGTTGTGCTGTAGCTTCTGGGGAAACTGGTTTCCCTGGTAGTTTCAAAGTCAAAGATTCGTCCACCGGAATTACAGGGCGGGCGAGGTCTCCAGAGGGTGTCCGATCGAATACTTTACGAACCAGACTGGTCCTATTCGAGGATCGGTGGGCCTCAAGAGTCCTCGGGAGGCTGTTTTTGAATACAGCCATGTCCTTAGAGTAGAACCTAGTTCCAGGAACAGCTCGAAATCTCGACAGGGTAGAGTGAAACGCGGGCTGCCGAAGGACAGGGGAAGGGGAAGGGAGTAGACCGGCAGAGAGGTAGAAGCGCATGGTCGCGCGAATAATTAGGCAATCGAGGCATTGCGAATGACTGACGAGAACCCGGGGCATATACCGGGACAGAGCAACGTTCTAAGTTCTAAATATTTATTTATTATGAAAGAGCAGGAGAATGAAGGAGCGATCGAATAGATGAATGAATGAATGAATGAATGGTACAAAAACCAAAGAAACGAAGACTTAGTGATGGTAGCATCCACAAGCACATGACTGATCCCGTGCACCTGATAGCAAAGCTTCTATCACGTGCCAGACTCAGCCCTAACACCGGGAGCAGGCAATTAATTAGATAATCGGGTCTCGATGATTCGATGAGATTACTAGTATATGTACTAACAGCGCATACTGTTGTATCCATATTCTTAGTTCTAGTATTAGTGAAGATGGGTCTATCAATTGTACTTGGGCCAAACAATCAACCCGGAGAAGGCAC